GGAGTAGATTCAGGGGTTATCAGACTATGTTCTTCCGAAATTTAGGCTTCCAGACAACTTCTTTAGGTTGTCTGGAAGGCCAAAGCCTCGTGGTTCCGCAAGCCGAAATCAAGAACTTTTGATTTCTGGTGGACCATAAAATCAATTATCTAAAATAATAAATTAAATATATATAGTAAAGAAGTATGAAAAGGAGATACAGGGACAGGAGGCGGCTTCCTCAGGTGCAAAGCACAGCCACAGCCTATTCTTCCCATTAGGCTTGTTCACACTGACTTTTAAAAATCAAAGCCGGCCTGCGCAATAATTAATCTGTGAAGCCGTTAAGCTAGCTTAACTTCATTAAATTTTACGTTAGTCATTACCTTTTGAGTTAAGCCAAAAGTGTTGGCTTTTATAAGCACAATTTAGTGCCATTTGTGAATATCTGAGTTAATAAATGGTTCTTTACACTCTTCTCCTGACTTTGTTATGCCTTAAGACCTTATGGATAATTTTCTAAACACGCTTCTGATGCCGAACTTAGTTTATGATAGTAAAGCATACCAGATATTATAATCAGACTGATTTAAATAAAAATGCATTTAATTTATGATACATTTAATTAAAAACATTAAATAGCTTCTTATAGAATTACATTATATATTTTTCACTTTTGAAAAAAAATAAAGAAGATATGTAACCGTTTCCATGATGGTCTACTCGCATATTCCTCTAATATCCTATAAAATGTTTCGCTGTTCCACCTGGGCCATCTCTATCAATGATCTGTACTGAGAAACTATCTTAAAAATTAATATAGCCTCTTTTGGGGATTGTTAAAATCTGAACTATTTCAGATTTTCTTTCTTTCCGCCCCCCCCTTTTGTGTTATTTGTTTTAGTTTTTGTACAATTTCTAATTTATAGTTGTACTTTTTTTTGTTTAGTGATTATTATTTTGTAATTAGTATTTTAGTATTTATAATTATTTTAGTATTTTATAATTATATTATTTTTTTATTTTATTATTAATTTCTAAACAACATACTCTGAATTTAAACTTATTTCCTGTATTTTACGAATATATGCATGATATTTATTATTTAATGTACGCAATTTTAACTTATTTCCTGTATTTTACGAAATATACGCATGATATTATTTATTTAATGTACGCAATTTTAATTTTAACTTATTTCCTGTATTTTACGAACATACACATTACGTTTATTTATTTAATGGTCGCAAATTTTAATTTCGTTCATAAGCCTATCCTTTTTAATTTTCAAAGCTTTCTGAATTTTAACTTATTCCTTATATTTTCCGACCATATGCATGAATTCTTTTATCGTAATATTTAACTTTCAATGTAATTTTTAGCATTTTTTTTGGCATTTTTAATCTTTTTAGTTTCTTTTTTTTTTTCTTTTTAGTTTTAATTCTTTGATTTACAACATTTCTTTTCCTAGCCTTATACTTAACGTTACTAATATTATTTTATTTTAATTTGTATAAAATTTTTTACTTCTTTCACACGTCTAACTTTTATATTTCTTATATATTCCGGTACTTTTAAGTTCAGTATTTAACTTTAAGCACATAATTTCAAATCATTATTCACTGAATAGTCCCTACTTAGTCCATACTTTATAGTTCTGCTTTAATTTATGCTTTATACAATTTTTTATTTAGTGATACTAGCTTAACCGTTACTAATTCTATTTTTTACTTATTGTTGTGACGTATCTCACTTGTCTGACAGTAACATCACAGCAAGCCCACGAAATTCATCTTGGCAAGGAGTGCAAGATTGCTCCTGTCGTTGACACCATACAAGTGACAGTACGATATTGCTCATTACCCCGCCAAAAAAAATTGGTGGAGAGCAATCTGGGGGGGACTGATCCAAGGGTCTCCCACCCCTTTTCTCCTACCATCAACCTCTCAAGAGGACTTTGGCTCACCGCATATTTAGAGTGGCTCCATGCCGCACAGAAACTATACATTTACAACCTTCATGCTTTTTCCGAGACCGGGCCCTTCGGCCGGCAGTCTAAAGAATGTATGACAATCTTTTTCAGGACACAACAAAAAAAAAAAAAAAAAAAAGAAAGAAAAGAAAAGAAAAGAAAAGAAAAGAAAAAGAAAAAAAAGAAAAAAATTCCTCAAAGATAAAGCAAAGTTCAATATTAAAAGCATATAGTTTCGTTTTAAACAACTTTACTTCTAAAATTTCTGCTTGTTCTAAATTCGAATTTACCTTGCCCTTAAACGTTGTTATATTGCTTTTTAGAACTTTCTTTTTATTTAAAACTGGTTTTAAATCAGCCATTATGAATAACAATAAATAACTGTTACTTTTAGCAAAAGAAGAGATGAAAATTGGAATTTACGCAACCCAATGCTGATGTTTCCACACTACACTATGTCACATGCATAACCCACAAATCGAATCGAAATTACGCTACGCTGATTATTAATCCAATACACTGCTGGTTTCGATATTACTACCTCAAACGAAATTGGAAGCTAATATGAATAAATCGCAAATATCCAGGTTGCTGCGGCTTGATGGACCAAATAATGTTGGGAATAAGTTCACAAAAACAAAGCGGACTGTATCACTTATTTATTTTACACATCACTTTGAAATAGAAGAAATGCTGTCCACGTGATGACACAGTGTTTGATGCACACATCACTTAAAGCACTGTAGCAGTAAAAAAAAAAAAAAAGGAATGAACACATAACTCGCATATCTGAAAGGTTTGTTACCATAGCAACCATAACTGAATCATGAGGCAGTAGCATCATCTATTGTTGCAAACACACACTAGAAATTTGTTAGGTAACAAAAAGTACTGAACAATCCCATTGTATTATTTTCCCTTGTAAAGCTAATCATTTTTAATTAACAGTCATTTGGAAAAAGAGCAGTAGTTTGTTTTCATAATATTTGTATTGCAATATATTTGATTATCGGCTGATTAGATGGCTGAAGTGGCCTTGTGGTATTATTCATTCACCATTTGTTCCTTTGAAAAATATTGATAGTTTTGAATTATCAGCTGGAAAAGAAGCAGTATTTTTTGTGATATCATTCATTCATATTAGTCATTTTTTTCCCTTTAAAGTATTAATCATTTTTAACTTACCATCAGATGAAAAAGAAGTAATATCCTATCCCCCAAAAGCACGGAATTTTATGTACTAACCGAGAGTATGAAAATGGCCACCAAATTGAAACTATATATTTGGAAAGTATTTGGAGATACAATGTGAAAACCTGCAAAGAAAAAAAAAAAGATCTTTGGTTCCAAAATTCTTTTCCTTATGGCATTGCAATTTATGTATTGTTGAGTTAAGGAACTTCATGAAACAGAGTAACAGATAGTTAAATATGTATAAAAGCACAAGACATTGAAAAGCTTGAAAATAGGAATTGAGTGAAATATGTTTTTGCATTTTTGAAGGAATTCTCTTGGAAAGGAATGAATATTTCCTTGTTCCAATACCAGATAAAACTGCTGGATTGCTAATGGTGACTAATGTTCGCATGCTTATCAGAGCAAAGAAATAGGAAAAATTGGTTTTAATATTTTGCAGCAAATCACAAATACAACATTGTGGATCCGGCGTCTAGTGCGCATACACAGAAAACTGAGACTTTAGAGCGCACCCAAATGCATAACAAAAACAAAAAAGAATAATTCATTTATGTTTGGTTTTATATTTAGCAGAAAAAAAAGGTTGCTATAGTATTTTCTCTTTTCCAGCAAATTAATTGTAAATGTTGTTAACTGAATTTGTAGTGGCTGCTTCATTAAAGATTGTTTTTGCAAAATTTAGCAAAATAAAGGTGGAAAATTTCAAATTCACATTATTATTTCCATGAGATCTGTATTGAAGTATAGAATTTGATGTAATTACATTAATTTTTAAAAAAATTAGCAGTTGATAATGTTTAATGATTCTGACTTCAGTTTTATGAATATTTTCATTCTTTTGCCATGGCGTAAAAATATGAGAAATACACAAAATTATAGGAAATAATGAATTTTTGTTATTGTATTAATTTTTTTAGATTCTATTCATGAAGTTTCTTTGGCATAAGCATTATCAGTGATAATGGCATTAGTATATGCGATTACTTTTCATAGTAAAATAATATAAGAATTACAAGTTTCTGTACTTAGAACTTCATGTGCAAGGTATAGCTTTAAAGAATAAAATGGCCATTGTAGAATACAGATAGCTACTACTTTTTGGCATTTTTATAAATACTTTTCTTTTATAAAAAAATATTTGATGCATAATACATATTTCAGTCTGTTTTGATGTATCTTCTAAATTTAAAGGAATGCTTTTGTTCATTTTACTGTTTTTTTTAATGTGTATAAAGTGTGCTATTGAGCTTTGGAATGTGCATACAAGTGGTATGCAATGTTTTTTTTTTGGGGGGGGGTATCAAAATTGATTTGGAAGCTAAAAGAATGATTCACTGAAATGCTAAGTAAGTGAAGCATAGTAGAAAATAAATGCAATAAGAATGGCAGTTTTCTTGTATTGATTAAAAACAAAGTACATGTATATTATGTATACATTTAATAAAAAAAATCATGGTTCAAGAAAACTATCATCTGCATGATGTAATTACATGTGCTCTTTTCAAGCCAATTAATTTACTAAGTAAGTTGGATGTACTTGATCTATGTATAAAGGATAACATCCTCTAAGATCTTAAGTTACCGTTTGGCTCTGTAGTTCTCTAAACACATCTGTACAAGGTTTAAATATTTCAGCAGAGTGCTAATCGAGATTGTCTTAGAAGTAATCAAACTCAACATAATTGAAATACAAGAATTTGCATTAAAACAACAAATTACAGAGTTGTGGTCTATAATACAATACTTTTTGACGTAGCTCATCATTGTTGCATAAATTGTCAAATAGTGCTTTTTTAATATTGAAAAAAATTATTTCTTTAGATATAGAGATTTATTTATGTGTATTTTTTTTTTTTTTTTTTTTATTATTATTTCAAGGATGTTCATTACCTATTAGGCCAAATTATAAAAAAGCCCAAGTAGAAAATAATAATGTGGAAATTAAATATCCACCACCTACACCTGTTGCCCCTGTATCATCAGGAGGACCATTACAGCCAATATCAAAACTGTCTGTTTCACAGCTTCCTGCTCGTAAGTATAGTTTTTAAAATTTTCTTTTAAGAATTTGCTGATAACAGAATTTCTATAAATTTGTGATTTTGGTTGCTTTCTCATATTTAAACTCGCCCAATTTCTAAAATTTTAGAAAAGTTAAATTTGTAAGTATTGACTGGTATCATGGTATTTTTCATATTCCTGTATCATACATTTATTAACTTTATATTATTATGTGTTTTATACTCAGAGTTCGAACAATTCTTAAAAGTTAGGTATTTTGGAAGTGATTTTTGGTTCCTTAAAAGTCTTTAATTTCAGCCCAAATCGGCAGAAGGTCCTTAATTTTAATCCTCTGAAATTTCTGTCTGTTTTTTTTACGACTGCCATTTTAAATGTGAATTAGCATTTTGGAGGAATATTTTTGGGTGATTCACTGCCAAATATATATTTGTTTGGTTATAATTTAAATTGATTCCTGCTTCTAATATAACCAATGTGATACTCGAATTTCTGGACAAATTTTTTTTTTTTTTTTTTTTGGGGGGGTTGGTTTTTGTTAATGAAAATCTCCTAATCAACTTTTCCTTTTTTGAAGATGTGAATTCTTTTTTTTTTTTTTTTTTTTTTTTTTATTAATTGGCTCTAAATTTGACGACTTATCAACATTTTGACGATTTTAAGGTCATTTTCTGTATAAGATTTTTAATTCAGAGATTTGTAAAGTATTTGACTTTAAAACTTTAATAAATCTAATTAAAATGATAATACATAATGATAATAATTTATTAATAAAATATTTGAAAACATTTCTCAATGCATAATACAAGGCTAGCACTAAGCGTTTTCCCACCAGATGCAATCTCTGTGGGTTTTCTGATGCATACTGCCTTCCTAAATTACAAGTTTTGCCATCCATAAATTTTGTTGCTCAGTGCTTCATTAAATTCTGCAAACTCTGAAGATTTATTGTGGATGAAATAATTTCTATGAGCTGGTGTATCCTCGCGTTCACTAGAACTTATAAGCGAACATGTTATTTTCTTTCAAAACCATATCTGAGGCTGCTTTCTTCTGACTCTGGTATAAAAAATTAACAGGAGTTGGAAACTGCGATATTTAAATATTGCAGTTCAACTATTCAGTATCATTTAAATGATTTCCGTAATATTAATAGAGGAGAAGATGATAAATTTTATCAGTGCCACACGTGTATTTATTGTAATCTAGAACACAAGTTCGGTGATAGGTTCCCTTTTTTTAATTCTTTTTATTTGAGATCATCAATTTACCTATGTACTCATTTGTAAAGCATAAGGACATTGCATTTTTCTTTGCATTTGATAACGACTGTACAGTGCTTTCTGTACATGACTGTTTCACCTTGTTTTGACTTTGTGTTCACAGTTCCTTTGGAGAGGTTTCTTTACAAAGTTCTGCATAATTTTTTCTTATTTTTGAGAAACTTATTTGCTATAGGAATCCTCATGTGATAACTATCTGTATGAAGCATGTGTCCTTCCTGTTAGATGTTTCTTCATCAAAGTTATTACTATGCTTTATGCATAACCTAATCCAGACATAAGATACATTGTACCACATTATACAAGTATGTTCCATACATAACCATGTGAGACAAGGGGTTATGGTAGTAACCGCTTGGCTCACAGTTAGTTTTACAATATACTTATGTCTTTTGCCCAGAACATATTGACTGAAAACAAGACGTCCTCTTCTCAAAACTATCAACACATCTATTGAAAGTTTCTTACCTGGTATATAAATTTTTTGAAAATTATCCAGAAAAGCAACTCAAATCTTTTGCAATCTTTTCTTATTGGTGTCTTCATAATCACCAAGTGTCAAAACCTTGGTAAAAGTTTGAATTGGTCTTTTTTCATTGTGTTGATAAAAATAGTTGTTGCTAACACTGATTTACTTGATCAGTAATCTTCAAGACAAGATTTTGTGGTAAGTTCAAAAATAAATCCTGAAAGTTTCTCCATTTTTACATCAATTGGTTTCCAACTATGTACATGACTTTTTGGTTTAACTCTTGATTCATGAATACATTGCTCCACGTACTTGTTAGTGTCTGATTTAGTAATTTGCATAATTTCTTTAATTACAAACAAAATACTGTTAAATGCGACAAGAGGTCTGCACATTCCGAATGCATTATGCCACTGCTTCTCTAAAAATCGTTGGCAGCATGTAATTCATGCCGACTTTGCACCATTCGATGCAAATTTAGGTAAGTGTATGAATTTTTTGAATGTAAGTAAGCAAATCAATTTAAGTCCTCAATAAAAACTCATTTTTAAGCATAATTTTCTTTTTTTTTGATAATAACAATGTCTGGTTTTTAACTGAATTTTTTACTTAATTATTTTTCTGTATCTTACTGTTACTTTATTGTTTGCAAGGTATGGTCTAAGTTATAAAGTTGAAAACTTATTTTTAACATGACTCCAGTCAATATTGTAACACTAGAACGGCGGGAAAATCTTACTTACTGGAGTGGCGGTAAGGGATCATTTTGAGCCTTCGATGAAAGTACTGAAATAGAAACGGTAAAACAATTTTAAATGCCATACATTGGCACAAATATGTACTTTATATGTATTTCATAATTTATATTTAATATCACATGATAGTTCATTGACTTTTTAAAATTCTGTAAATGTATCAAGTACATGGCGATCAATTGGATCATACTACAATTACTCATTAATTTGATATAAGAATTGATTTCAAATAAATTGTTTCACAAATTAAAACTAATGTTAACTAAAATAAAACACAATTTATATAATAATATTTTTTATGTACTTACGCAGAGGATGCTTCACTCTCTAAGTCCAGAAATGAGAAATGTTCTCTGATGTTTCAGTTATATCATTATATGTGTAGCTGAATGGAATATGTAAAGCATTGCCTTTCAATTCTATTTAATGTTTTTAAAATATTAGAGATTACACATACATATTAAGAATTAATGCAGTTGATGCAAAAATAATTTTTAACAATTTTTCTAGTGCATTTTCCGCACACAACTTTGGAACAAGATGCAAAATATTCTTGAGATTTGTTTCTGTTGCATCTCTGTACTTGACCATTTTTCTCTTTATATCCATTTGCTTTTTTTTTTCTTCTTTTTTCTGATGACTGAGGAGGGATCTTTGGGAGTTTTGAAGCCATATGATCACGAATATCCACACCATACTTTGTTGCGTTGTAAATGCTATTGAATCGCTCAACTTCTTGAGACTGTCTTCAGTTTTTACGGTAGAATGTAATGAGCTCAGTAGAAAAAAGGTTTTGTTTCTTTTGCTTTGATAGATGCTAAGTGTGATACTATCATGTTTCACTATTGTCTATGAATAAAGATTACTACGCATATTTTTCAAAGATATAGGAATTTCTCTTCTGTTCTTTTTCATTGTGCCGACCATAGTTGTATTTTTTGATTTTAACATTTCTGCTAATTTAATGCTAGTAAAATATTTATCCATGGTAATATTCCTCCCTTTGTTTAGATGTGGCTCCGTTATTTTTATGACAACATTTTCAGACAAACGTAATTGGGGATTTGCTGTATCATCATTTCCTAGATAAGGAAATCCATTCAACGTTGACATATAACCAAAATTTTATTCCAAATTTGACAGGTTTATTAGGCATATATTGTGCAAATCTACACCTAGCTTTAGATTGGAATAATTGTTCGTCAACTGTAATATTTTGTTGGAATAATTGTTCGTCAACTGTAATATTTTGTCCAGGCTGGTTGCACGTTTTGCAGTTTTCAATAAATTTGTTCCACATGTCTGATGCAAGAGCAAATTTATCAGTCTGTAATCAAGTAGATCTTGTTGTCTTCATTGAACCTTAAAAATCGTTTTATTTCTTTGAATCCATCTCTTGATATAGTTTCTTTGCAAAATAGAATTCCTCAAACTTCGGACCACAAGGAATATAAATCTAAGCCCTTTGCTCCTATTGCTCCTCGAACATAAAATAGCATCTAACTCAGTATAGCGACAAAAGCATCTAACTCAACCTGAGATAACTTCCAGTCTTTATTTCCAAGTTGCCAATGAGGTTTGGATTCTGTACATTTCTTTATATGCAGCAAGATATCATCAGCAATAAAAAGCTTGAGAGCACTAGACACTTTGTCCTCAGAAACATGACTCTTTGCAAAAGATGTTGGTCCTGCAGTTTCTTTTAGAACATTATAAGCAGGAGCCGCAGACTGAATTTTTGGAATTTGTTTCATTTCATATAGTGTTATCAAGAGCTGTAAAGTTCTGCAAATACCCTGATCCATTTTTGCCCGTTTATTTCTGCTGAGTTCTTCTTCATTTACTTCGCTGTCCTCGGATTCACTAATAGTTTGTGTCTGGAATTCATCTTCAGTTTCTATTAACAATTTCACCTCCATCAGACTCATTTTCAGATAGCTCCTGCAACAATTTTATAATTTCTTCATCCGTAAGACTTCTTTTCCGCTTATTAGACATATTTTGTAAAAGTTGAGAAAGTAAAAAAATATCAGAATATCAGAAAATGATAGGGAATATATTTTAGCATATGATTCTCACAGTGTAAAGGAAAGGGAATAATGAGCTTGACGGCAGAATTCATATGTACTGAAATATTGATTTGGGATTACCAAGAAAACATCTGTCCTAACTGTTATCACCTGTAGTAAGTAAGCTGAACTAAAAAACGGGAAAATACACTTGTAAAATAAACTATTTCTGAAAAGAAATGTAAGCATGAAAAATCCTGCATCTACCTTCCTTGCAGTATTTTCTTCAAACGAATAGATAAATGCAAACAAAGGAACAACAACTTATGTAGACATTACAAAGTAGTAAGAGAGATAGTATGAATGCAATCAAAAAATCCTTATCAGTGAATGTTTTTCATGGGTTTTTGACAATGCCTCGAACAGAAAGAAGGATAAAAGTAAAGGGGTTAAAATGACCCCCGTCCGCCGTTCTAGGAATACATGCCAATATTTCAAAAACTAACAAACCTAGAATGCTGAAATTTTTTTTACAAATATTTGTTATCTATTTAGGAAAAGTCAAAAAATTCCAAACGATTTCTTCCAATAAAACAAAAGTAATCAATGATCAAAAGTGTTAGGTGTCAAAATGACCCCTACGCCGTTCTAGTGTTAATGGATAAAGTGAATTACCAGAGTGTGGCAGAGCACATTGATATTCTTTAATTAAAAACAAAAATGTCTTTGTGGAGTATTTTCTAATACATCTTGGCTTGTATATATGCAATAGTCATAGATGGGTAAAGCTTTATAAAACAAGCTATTCAGTGAGGGTGAATTACCAGTATTTCATGTTATTAGCTATTTGTTCAGATATTGGCCCACAGTGAAGAGGCTGGCTACCTCATTGGACTCAGATTTAAATCCTAGATAAAGCTTGAATGTTTGCAAATGTGATGAAAATTGAATTTCTTTCCGGAAAGGTTCCTTAAAATCGGTGAATCCAAAAATTATTTTCAAGAGGTTGATATAAGGAGGGGAGATATAAAACCCTCATTTCTGTCATTGTTTTCAGGCAAATATATTTTTAGTTTTATAAATTTTCCCTTTGAGCTTGCAAAGTGAAAGTTATATATTTAATAAAATATATTACTTTCAGCAGCACGACGATGTTCTAATGTGGTTAAAGAAGTTGATAAAATCAAAAAACAACGGGAGGAAAGGAGAGCTCGTCAAGCAGAGAAGAAAGCCGAACAAATGAATACCGATCCTGGCAATCCAAACTGGGAATTTATGAGCATGATTAAGTATGAGTTTTTTTTTTTTTAAACTTCTGAAAGATATATGATTGAAAATCTTTAGCTTGTCTCATTTACTTAGTTTGATTGCATGCAAATAATAATAATAAGTTATTAAACGTAAAAATGAGTAATTTCTGAATTTTTATTCATTCTAAATTCTTATTTTAGTGGTACAAATAATATAAGAATTTTATTTTTATATTCTGTTAGTAACTGAATGAAGATCTACCTTTTTATTCACTATGCTTTATCAAAAAGTTGCATTTTATATTCAGTTTTTATTTAGTCTCATTTCCTATTACCTTCTAAAACCAGTTATATCTTTCCGAACATAAAGTTTGATTTGCAAGCATTCATTGACTGTGCTTTAAATGTTTTATATAATTTTTCTTTATAGAGAATACTGTAGTCAGCTTGAATATAAGCCTATTAGTATCACTGATCCAATCCAACCTCTTCAAATTTGTGTTGCAGTAAGAAAAAGGCCTATGAATAAAAAAGGTTTGCATTTCTTCATAATGATTTAAACATTAACTGTTCTTTTTTGTAAATAAAACTGGAATGGTTTCTCAACTCTTTGGCTGTTCTAGATGAGCCTAGCTTTTGTTTGCTATATGCATTATAAAATGTGTAGATGAACTTTACTTAGGTACTTTTGAAATTTTTCAACTTTCGGTTCTGCTCATATAAAATTCGCGAAATTTTCATCTTGCGAAATCACCGATATATTCATTTTCACGAAAATAAGGGCCTTTACGGTATTTAAAAAAATCATTCAAATATTAATGGATGAAAACAATGCATGAATAAAACCTATTTTGTGCATATTCATTTTTTTATATATTTTTTAATTCTTATTTTGATGTCAGAAGAGTTTTCATCAATGAATGTATTTTGCTTTACTTGACTCATTTGATATTTAATTCATAATGGAAACCTTAAAAAAATTCCGTGTTCAGTAAAAATTTGAAATACAATTTCTGGAACATTTTGAAGCAAACTTTGCTATTAACTGTCATCTGTTTTAACTTCTTTGTACAAAATAAAGGAAGTATAATAATCAGGAAAAATTTTGATTATCATAGTTTAATGGAAGTATCCATTTTGACAATTCTCGAAGCCATTTACATTTTTTAATGCTATCTGTACATATGGATAGGGTGAGGGACTTTTATATCCAAAACAATTTGTAAAATGCATTCAAAAAAGATTTTTTTATGACTTATGTATGTAAGTATGTATTTCGTATAACTCAAAAATGATTACTATAGAATATTGAAATTTTGTGTATAACATCTAATTATGCACTTCTCTTTTTTATTGCACTTCGCAATACTAAATGTGTTTGTGTGTGTATACATACATACACATACATACCCTACCTGGCCTTTAATTCACAGTCATTGGTTTGTAGTCATTACTTAAATTACAGAAGTGTTTTGTGTTTTAAACGGGGGGGGGGAATGTTTGGGTAATGCCAAATTAAAGAAAAAATAATTTTTTGCAAATAATGAAATCTGACTTTTAATGTGGTCATCCGGTTCCTGCACTAATGTTTGGGAAAGTTTTGTACCTATGAGAAAATAAAAGTACGAGAAGTTTGATTAAGTTCAACAATAATTAACTGGGACATTTAATTTCAAAATTTGAAATTTTTGATGTCATTTTCAACTTCCTGTGAAGAATTGGTTAATTTACTTGTAATAATTCAAGGAAATACGTTTAAATGAAGTGAAGCAAGATTTGTGGGTAATTTAAAGTTAAGTTATGTGCTGTCCACATCAGGTTTTATTATTATTATTATTATTATTCCATTTGAAGCTGAGGCAAAATTAAAAACTAGAATATCTTGTAGTTGAAAGACGTTTGCTGCATTCACACACAGAGAGGAGGAGGAGACAGTGATAATGAAAACAATGCACAAAGTATATTCAAAGTTTAAGAATAAAGGAATGAATAAAACATGAATAAAACAGTGGTACATATCCAAATATGATATTTCGGTTTCTGAAATAATACTTGCCATGCAAAAATGCAAGTTACTGAAGTCAAATGCTCCCGCTTTCATATTATTCTTCAGTTTACTCAGCCCTGACTGTAATTATGTTATCTTAATAAAAGGAAAATTTGCATTCTTCCTCCAGCTTTCCTTTTTATTACAATTTTTTATGTAAGAAATGTGATTAATTTAATAATACTTTGCTTTTGTAATTTCTTTTGTTTTTTGATGGACAAATATTTTTCCCCCCCTATACAGAGCAGCTAAAGAAAGAAGTTGATGTAGTAACAGTCCCTAACAAAGAGCATATAGTTGTCCATGAACCTAAGCACAAAGTAGATTTAACAAAATATTTAGAAAATCAATTATTTCGATTCGATTATGCATTTGATGAAAATGCAGACAACGAAATTGTATACAGGTAAGAAATTTAAATGGTATTTTTGTTTTATTCAACTTTTACCCCTTTAAGTGCACTTTTTTAATACTTAGCATTGTTTTTTCAAGTAAATTTCAATTAAGGTCATTAGGGTAATTCTTGAGTTCTCAAGAAATCTCAAGAGTAATAAAGAAAGATTCTAAGTTAATAGAAAATATGCAAGTAAAAAATACATACTTTTTATTTTGCAAATACCTTTTAAAAATGAATGTTTTAAAAAGTATTAGTATGCTAAGGTTTCAAATTATGGTTTTTGTGGGAACTACTCTTATACATGCCTTCTGTTGGCAACAAATTTCTTGCCAAACATTTTTGGCGAAAAACTCCATGGCACCACATTGCTTATTCCTTACTATATTACTTCCACAGCACCATATTACCATATTATTTTTTTTTTCGGGCTGGCTGCATGGGCGTTTTCGTGGTTTTCCCCATGTGTAACGTGTATACGAGCCAGTTTCCCTTAGAAAGTCCTCCACGAAGGCATCCCTGCCCTTAGGCAGATAGCCCTCGTGTGCTTTGCGGTAATTAAATACACCAACATCATATTATTTTTTGTGTATATTTTGTACTTTAAGCCTAAAATGTTTGCATAAATCATGTTTTTAACACACAATTTATGCCAAAAATCCAAAAACAAAAAAATTAGATAGCAAAAACAAAGTTTCTAACCAAAAATATCTGACAAGAATCCATGACAAAATCTGTTTTAACCCTCTGGTTGCTCATCCTGCGATTTCCGCGGACATGTGTTTTTCTTCCTTTATCGAGGAGCACATCCCATTTTTTCCCCGTTTAACCACAAATGAATTATATACATTATTAGACGTTAAGTTTACGGTTTGGCCAACAGAATCATTAGTTGTCCACTAAATTGCGACATTTGAAGGCACTTGGGTATTGCCCCTCAAACTCCACTTTTTGCACTATTTTCTTACAGAAATGGCTGCTGGAAAACATTCAGCGATTATCTTGATTATTTAATTAACTTATTTAATTATTAATTAGATTAATAATTAGATTTATTGAATCTGGTCCAAAGGCTGTAAAGTTGGACTTTGCCTCGAATCCTGTTTTGAACTCTTATCATATTAGACTGCATTTCTAAGATATATTTTCCTCTGTGCTTTATGTTTTCTTAAATTTTATATATTTTACTTTTTTATTTTATGCAATAAATAGAAATGGACTGTAATTTGACTGAAATTTATTTATTTATTTATTTATTTATTTATTTTGTGATAACATCTGAAAATGGTTTTTCTAGCAAATTAGTTTCTCCTGATAAAAATCTATATAAAAAAAAAAAATATTTTCTAGAAAGGAAAAATGCATTTTCATTTCTCCAATATATATAGATTTAAAATATGCCCCCCCCCCCAAAAAAAAATCAGAATTGCACCATCTAGTCATTGCACACAAATCAACAAAATAAGCTAAAATACCTAAAATAAATTACAAACAATTCAAAAAACAACAATAATGACAAATTCATTGCAAAAGAACAATGAGCATATTATATAAAATAAGAACAACAATAAAATAAAATGCACTTACCATTGTGAATGCTTCTACAAACAGCAGAAATATCAATTTCAAACATCAGCAAAACTCATCAGTTCCCACTGCTTTATCCTTTCACCCTATCTTCTGAGACACAGAGCATACAAAGTCCAACATATGTTCATGAATAAAATCTGCATAAAAACCCCCGTGAACAAAAGACTCATTAACAACTCGAACATCGTACCTTGCACACAATCCAAAATACGCTACTGAAGTTTTGCCACAACGTCTTTCATTGCAACATAAGCCATTTCAAAATGTCCACCAAACCAACCAACCACTCCAGCAAAAAAAAAGTTTCAACATCAAAAGGGTTGCCATACACACAACATCGTGCCAAAAACCAGCACAGAACACATATCGCCACGTTTGCGACGACATACATCTGGGGGTATATTTAAGACTAGTACCTTTTTGTGTTAAAGTTTTAAGAAACCGTAACACAAAATTATTGAATCCATATTTAATTTAAATATCATGTTATAAATTTGGCAGTAATTTCTTTTGTTTTAAATTAAAAGTACGAGCTTTATTTGTGCTATAATGGTAATTTTTGAATGAAGTTTTGTTTTAGCAGTCTTTAATAAGAAAGATTAGTTTTAATTCTTGTAGTATTTTTTATCAGAAATTGGAGGAAAAATAGTTGCAAAATCTGATGTACTGTAAGTAAAATATTAGGCTTCTGAATGTCATTGCATAAAATTATTGAAGTAAAAAATAATTGAATTTTTATGGTAATATTTTAGGTAAAAAATCATATTCGACTTATAATAAGTTATTCAAAATTACTTTTAATGTTATGCTTTGTGTTATTTCTGTCATTTTTGGTATTATGACATTCCTGGTATATTCTTTTGAAAAATTGTAAGAAATCCATTTTATTAAAACTTTTTAAGTAATTCTTTTTAAAATTTGTTCTAGGTTTACGGCTAGACCTCTGGTTCAGACTTTGTTTGAAGGAGGTATGGCTACATGTTTTGCATATGGGCAAACTGGTAGTGGAAAAACACATGTGAGTAAATTATTGTTGTTTATTCCAAATTTAAAAAAAAAAAAAAAAAAAAAAAAAAAAATTATATTTTTACATTTTTAAGTAAGTATTTTAAGAAATTTAGGAGAAATTCTAAACTTTTCTTATTCATGATTTTTATGAGCCACCAACCTATGTATTTTTTTTGGGGGGGGGGGGGGTCTTTGGTCAAAAAATTCGATAGTCAGTTTTCTGCAAATGAGCATGACTTAGGGTTCCCAAAACACATTTTTACTATTTTTACAATGTCTATTGGTCCATGTGATCTATGAGGATTTTTTAATCCATGATAAATAGCTCTTCTCATATTTGATATTTAAAACTCATCTATATATACAGTAATTATTGAGAACAACATGCTAGATTTTTGACTATATGTTATAAAACTTTCTGTTTATGTTATAAAAAATATTATTTAAATAATATATGCAGGAATCCAAATATTTATATAAGAAACAGGTTGTACAGGAATTATGTTTGCATGTTAGGCTTTATTGCAAAATGTACTCAGTCTCACAGTGACATTCAGTGCTCCAAGTTGTTTGACATCAGGAGTGAAGAGTTTAAGCTTTCTGCATTCTTATAAAGAACTGGTTAGATTTTGGGTAAAACCAAACAACTGGAAATAAAGCCATAACACTTTTTAATTAAAAAAACTGTATTAAAATGTAATCTAAAACTTTATTGTCAATAGGAATAATATATTAGGTTTTTGCTAGAATTGGTAAACCAGAAGTGATACTTTGCTTGAAGCTATGAATAGATTTTCAGGAAAAACTACAGTATATAATGCAAAACTTCTCATATTTGATATTTAAAACTCATATATATCTATATATACAGTAATTATTGAGATTGAGATGCTAGATTTTTGACTATATGTTATAAAACCAGAAGTGGTACTTCACTTTAAATTCTTAACAGATATTTGTCTAAACATGTAATAAGATGTAATGCAGCACATATTAAGGCTATTTCTATTATACAGGATGATCATCGAATAAGCCCTGATTTCAAAATTAAATATCTCTACAAACAAAGATCGATAGAATTATGCGGTTTACTAGCAAAACTGTAAAAATGGTGTACAAAAGTTTAGAAATTGTTAACAGATGGCGCTCTGCGCCGAAAACGTTTTCTCTGAAAGGAGTAAAAAAAAAACCCAATAATAAAGTGGAACTTTGCAATCAAAATAAAATTTTTTCAAAATGTTCACCATTCGAAACAATGAGGTGGCATAAACGAACGGTGAAATTTGACGTCGCGTCTTGCAGTGTCTCAACGGAAAGGGAATCACATGCAACACCAATCAATGATTCAAGCTCATCTAGAGTAGTGGGATTGTTTTGATAGACAGTGTCTTTCAATATGCCCCACATGTGCCCCACAGAAAGAAGTCACAAGGACTCAGATCGGGATAATATGGAAGCCAAGCTATTCCTGTGTCAGTAAATTGCGGATATCTAACGCAATTACTCTATTCCCAAAGTATTCATGAAGAAAGCGAAAAACTTTATCTTTTTGATGGGGTCGAGCCCCATCTTGCATGAACCAGTCAATAACTGGTCGATCACAATGCTAGTTGAGTGCTGACAAATTGTTCCAAAATTGTTACGTAACGTTCAGTAGTTATCGTTTCTCGTATGAAAAAGGGTCCGATAATGCCTCTGGCGTATACCGCAGCCTATGCGTAACTTTAGGCGAATGTAGTGCTTTCTCTTCACACAAATGAGGATTTTCAGAACCCCAAAATCTCCAGTTTTGTTTATTAATGATTCCATTCAAATGAAAATGTGCCTCATCTGTGAAGCAGATGCAGCTCCCATCAAATCTGTTGTTGTCGATCAGTGTTATGTTAGAATCTGATTCGCAAAGTCAACCCTTTGTTGCACAGCTTTCACGGTGACTTTGGATTTTGTATGAAAACAGCCGTAGGCTATTTTTAAATATTTTTTGTGTGCTCGTGTACTTCAAACCTGTCTCTAATGCAATCCATCAAATACCTTTCCTATGATTTTGCTGAACAATTCCAGAAACTTTGGCTGTATTTCCAGGAGTGACTACAGTTTGCCTAGGCCCAACATTTCCCTTTCGATCATTGGCCACGCTGCTAGTCCTTTCGAATTTCGCGAAGAACGTGCAAATGGTTTTCGCATCGTGTCCAACTGGAACATCGAATCGCTTTGAAAACTGCGACGTGTTGCCGTAGGACTATGTTCTAATTGCTGAAATTCCAGAACCAAAAAAACACGTTGTTCAATGGAATGGATTATTTCACTTTCTACGCTAGCCTCTTTTCACTAGCCAATAGTCGTACTAATCACTTTCGACTTCGAAGCACATTTTAAAGGCTATTGATAGGTTATTGGTATTAGAGCGCCTTTTGTTAACGAGTTTCGTAACTAAATTTTCTAAACTATTGTACACCATTTTTACAGTTGTGCTAATAAAAGTACAGTTTACCGCATAATTCTATCGATCTTTGTTGTAGAGATATTTAATTTTGAAATCAGGGCTTATTCGCTGATCATCCTGTATCTAGACATGATGTATATTTATATCAAGCCATAAAAGAGGATAATTTTTATAACAGTGTTTCACTTGCAGAACTTCAAAACTCTTGGAATGGAAGCATATTGCCAAAAAAAAAAAAAAAAAAAAAATCGCTTGTTATTTTCTTGCACTGTTGATGATGATGTGTAGGAGCAAATAATAAATTCAAAAATACCTATTCCCTTACTTCTTACTGATCCTGAAATGTAATGTAAATCACTATTCAGCTGTAATTCCCAAAACTAACAAGCATTGTTTACTGGTATCTAAATTAAGTGGTTATATGTGTGCAAATAAAATTGAATTTAGATATTTTGATACTATAGGAATAATATGGGGAAAATTAAATTATGATGTTCATTTAAAATATATTATAAACATAATTTTATATTATAAATATTATTAGCAGCTTCGCTGCCAGCCTTTGTCTGGCTTTTAAATGTATCGGAAAATGGCTGAAGGGAACACCAAACGTTAAATTTAAAAACTGCATAGTTGCCAAACCCATATTTCTAGAAGAATGAAACTATTTAAAATGACGCAATTTCATCAAAAATCTATCAGCAACAATAAGAAAGGAAAATTGTTGCCTGTGATATCTTCGTTCTGAAGTGTTGAGTCATTTAATTCACAGTAGTTGTCTTTTGATTATTTATTGAAAACAATAACAACATGATTGAAACAAATATGAAATATCATATGCGGTACAGTGCCGAATCTACACATCTTACAATATCATCGTTCCTGTGTGTTCTAACTATATTTTCCCCCGGCGTGGGAAAAGCGACATCAGTTTATCCCGTTAGGGATTTTTAGTTGGAACATTGCCAAAATCACCAGGGTTCGTAGCGGTCCTTACGAGTGCTTATAAGTCCTTATATTTGGAAATAAAATATAAAGGTCCTTATAGGTGCTTACTTTTTTCTTTAAAGCCCTTATTTTTTTGTTTTTAGTGCTTATTTTTTGCTTTTAGTGCTTTTTTTTTTAATCCTTTGTTTTTAATGAATGCACATTTTTTTCCCTGTACCAAAGTCGAAACTAAATAAACAACTTTTCTTTCTTATATGCAACGTCAGATGGTGAATCATACTCCCGAAAATTGCTTTCCCCCCTTCCTCTGTATTAACGTAACCTATGGTATGCGCGAGAGTACAGACAGGTGCACGTCGTTCTATTGGCCAAAGAATTGCGAAAACGTAGAAAATTCCGGTACATTCGGTATTCTTTTTCTCCCTCCGAAATACTACACACATTTGAATTTCTATCAAGATTTTAATAATTTGCATTCTCGTTCCGCGTGGTCAGTTCATATTCGTGTTTATTATGATCTTTATGCTTATATTATGAGCATATGTATGAATATTTATAATCATATAGTTGCAGTAACTGCTGAAGTATAAACTTCCAAAAATGGGTGTGTTTTTACACAGATTAGCTTTCTAAGGAATAGTATTCGGAATGGCTTAAATAAAAGGAAAGTAATCGAATAGTCAAAATAATTTCATTTTCTTTGCCAATACATTATACAGTGCAGAGGTTGGGAGTTTCTCCGCAAAATCTCTAATATTGAAGAAGTGGACTTTTTTTGTCACTGTCCAATCTGGATTGTATAGGACTAAAAGTTTTTGCGATTTACCCAACCCAAGCGAAGATTGATTCTATTCCGGAAATTTAATACAGTCTGTTGAAAATTAGAATCAGGAACACCCCAGATTAGAAAGTCTCTTTCTTTTCCTTTATTTAGTTCTTTTTTCTCCGAATACCGGCAGGTGTTGATTCCGATTGCGTAATATCACATATGGAAGAATTACGCCGCACGTATTGCACAATAACGTTTGCAGTATTTGCATTGATAATTAATTTTGATGTTCAGTCTGAGATTTGTTTATGAACACTTAAAAGAGTTTTACTGTGCTTTCTAAACAGAATATTTCTCAGTTCCGTTGGTTTTTATATGATGCACATATCGAAATGTCAAAATCATTTATTCAGCCTAAATTTAAATCTAAAGAACAGCTACAATCTCCCCCACTCCTCTTTTTCCAGATACTATCTGGAATATTCGGAAATTTCCGAGTATGCGGGATAGTTAAGCTTTTACTGCTAAAGGATGACTGAATGAAGCAATTTCCGTCTTCTGATTTCAGAAATGTGCCTCTTTTTTACTTAAATTACTTTGCTTGGGATATATGTTAAGGGAAAACTGTTACTCAATGAAAATTTAGAAAATGTTCAGAATTTTGATTTAAGTTAAATTATTTAAATATTAATATGAGTGGAAAAATAAATTGTATTTATTATTAGGTGCCAAACGAATACAATTAATATGGCTTATTATTATTTATTTTCTATATTTTCAACTGAAATATCATCATTAAATTTTTGTAATATAGTTTAGTTCTGCATAGTTTTTTTTTCTCTCATTGTAA